CACACACACACACACACACACACACACACACACACACACACACACACGAAACTGAAAGTTAACTCTTTTTGAGTTAATTCTAATGAAGTCTGTCTCTAACTGATATCAGACATCATGATGGGGAATGAGGACCACAGAGTGGCAGCTGTGAGAGACCAGAACATTCAGAGGGGACAAGGAAGAGGGAAGCTGGTGCAGGAGGTTCCCAGGAAGCTGGAAGCCTGTGAAGCAGACACTTTTTAGCCACCCACTGAGCTTCACCACCACAGGCCCAGTCCAGCAGGGCAATGCAGGAAGTGAGCTATTCTCAGCTATTGTCTAAAGGCACACAAATTCTTAAGGAAGTCCATCTAAAGCAATTACTTTGCTTACATTTTTATACATGAACTGATCATTTATTTAGAAATTTCAGTGGTGAGGAAGAATACTTAAATCAAGTTTTACAAAGAGCGCTGTGACAGTGAATTCTCTCTCTGCTCTATCACTCAGAGGACAATTGGCAGTGACCCACTTTACAGCGGAGGAAACACACTGACAGTTTTGATCAGATCCATGCTACTCGCCCTGTCCCTATTGACCAACTGGCACAAGCATGCTGTCAGTGTTACTGGACACGCCATCCTGAAAGAATGCTTGAAATGTGTCCAACTTTTCAGGCCAGGCTACAGAAAGGAAAGAGCAAAGCTAGAAACTGCTATAATCTGAACTTGGTTGGGGTATCCGCATCGAAAGCAAGCCAGACTAAGGCTCTTAGACCAGGCAACATCTTCGAAGTCAGCTCAGATTAATCAAAGCTCTGTATTTAAATAAGCGTTACAGGCTCTACACCTTGAGGTGTTTGAAAAGTGACACAAAGATAAATTCTATTATTTCGAAGTTTGTTGATTCCAGAATTCTAATACTTCAGGGCTAGAGATGTAGCTCACTGGTAGAATGTATGCTTATACCATATGTAAAGTTCTGGGTGTTTTTATAACCAACAATTTCAGTTTAAAATGCCAGATGATTATAAATGACTATGTTCTGTACTTTTAAAGTCAAATCATTTTCGATATTATACCCAGCCACTAAATATTTATCAAAGCTCCTATTTCCTTCCAATTTATTCTCCTATTCAGATGCCAAGTACTTACTCTGTTAGGTATTGGGTTGTAACCTAGGAGTCAACAATAAACATAATATAGCCTACACCCACTATACTTTACATATATATATGGAACTAAAGCTGAAATACATGTATTCTGGCGTCTCAATGACTGACTTAGTCTAGTTACACCTTCATATGACAACTGTTAAACATGAACATGCTGTAGACCTATTCCTCAACTGATGAGGTATGTTCGTCTTAGCCAGCATTCTGTTGCTATAACCGAGTACCACAGGCAGGGTTTACCTCACAGTTCTGAAGCCTGGAGACTGCAGGCGCAGCATGGCAACTGCTTCCAAAGAGGGCCTTCTTCTGCATCAAAACGAGGCTGATGGATCGATTGCAGAGCAGAGCAAGATGCCAGACAGCTGCTTTTATAACAAAGCTAGCCCCCCAACATCCCATTAATTCACTAACTCAGCTATCAAAGACCGCACCTTTCATAAAGCCATACATGCCTGGGAACTATGTTCCTAACATACTTTCTGGGGGAGGTCCTGTTGCAGAATTATTTGTTTCTGCTGTAAACATGTGTCTCTGCATAAGGGGCCTTCTGATTGGTTTAATAGAGAGCTAAATGGCCAATAGGTAGGACTTCTGGGGAAGAGAGACAGAGAGATGCCAGCAGGACTCTGGAGCAGCTGGAGACACGGGACAGAGCAGAAGTAATCAAGCCATGTGGCAGAAGATAGATTAATAGAGACAGGTTAGTTTAAGTTATAGGAGCTGGTGGACAAAGCCTAAGCTAAGGCCAAGCTTTCCTAGTCAGCAAGTCTCCGTGTCATTATTTGCAGGCTGGCGTGACGAGAAAGCTCGACTGCGAGGTCCCCAAACCACAGCACCTACACAGAAAATTCTAACAACACCGTTTCATCCCAGATGCCTTTCTTCTATCTCATGATAAAACAAAAATACATATTTTACTAAAGCAGTGAGATTATCTCGAGATCTTGATTTCTTTTTTATTCATGCACAAAAATCACAAAGAAAACCTTTCATCCTAGGGCTGTTCACACTCCAAAGCAGACCAATCTTGATGGTCATGGCTCCTCAGGCATTTCGTCTCTATAAAGTGTGGTTCGGAGGAACTTTACACTAATAAAAGTGAAGCCTGTGAACAAAGTCCAGAAAAAACGTAATGAAAGCACCCCGGGCACACGTCATCATCTACAGTGATTTAACCTTAATAACATTATACATTTAAACAGGTAAACTATATCTCAGAGGAAACAGCTGAGTGGAGCGTGAACAAAAGATTCAAATATTAGGCTTCTGCCAAATGGTAAACTTCCCTGCTATCTTGGATTTCAGGCAATAATCAAACGCACATTAACAATTATTTCATCACAGGGCTTTCGGCGACTTTTGTTCTTTTAAGATAGGGTCTCACTACAGATCCCAGACTGGCCTGGAACTTACTATGTAGTTGAGACAGCCTTCAGTTCAAGAGCAGCTTGCCTCTGACTCCCAAATAGGATTTATAAATGTGTATCATCATACCCCATTTGTATCATAGCTTTTAATCTATATGCCACTTCAACAAAATATTCATGTTTAATAGTGTGATTTTTCTCACTAATGTACTTGAAAATACTTGTTGCGTTTTTTAGATTCTATCCTCCCCATGTTTTAGAGGGAAACAAACTCTAAGAAAACTTGTATAACTCACGGTACCAACTGTCTCCCTTCATGGAATGTTGGGGGCCTTAACTACTCTGCAAAGATTAATTCAAGGAATGACTATTTAATAATTTGCTTGCCAAAATAAAGGTAAAGAATAAACCAAGACTAGAGGTGGGTGGCACATGCCTTTAATGCCAGCATTTGTGAGGCAGAGGCAGGCAGATTTTAGTTCAAGGCCAGCCTGGTCTGCAGAGTTCCAGGACTACACTGAGAAACCCTGTCTCAAAAAGTAAATAAATAAACAAAAATATTAGCTACTTTTCCAGCTGTTTATGTACTGTGCTTATTGATCTAGGTTTGCCACTACTAACAACACATAAGATTGGCCCAGCAGTAGAGAAGAAATATTAAATACAAAGGAGTGAATCTACATTTAGTTCTCCTAAAACAAAACAAGCAAGCACCAAGCCACACAGAACAAATGAGGATGTAAGAAAACTTTTCAGACCAGACAACTAAAAACAAACCTTTCTCATTCAGCACCATTTTTACACACAAAAACACACTGTGTGCATGCATTGGTTGCTACCGACACTCACCTGCAAAGACACAGAAGTATATGCATTTGAATTAATGCTGCACTGTTTGCAGCTAGCAACTGCTCTGGATAAATACTGCACTGTATCTCACTACTGTTTCATCTGATCACAAATTCAAAATCCTCACACCGCTTGGTGGAAACCAAAACCCAGGGATCCTGACTTGGAGACATAAATTACCTATTTAAGTCAGTAAAAGACTTAAAGAAAACATAGAGGAACATCATCTATTGTTTGCTGGTGTAGGTTCTGAAACAATAAAGCCATCAGAGGGTAACAGCACTTGTTTCTGACCAAGTATGTCAGAAACAATTATGTAACCAGTGGAGACAGAACAAAACTTTACCTCAAAATCTAGAGATCCGCAATAAACATTGAAATTTCTGACAATTTTCCTTTCCTTGGTAACCAATACAATCCTTCCAAGCAGGTGGTTACTGGATTCCGGTGTCTGTAGTTGTGGCCCTAAGCAATTTACTGAAAAGTAACAAATCCAAATTAGCTATTGTTATTCTACAATCTGCCTCACATCCAAATGATACACACAAACAGGTGTGGTCTTTTAGTCTGTGCTGCTGTAACAAAACACTTGAAACTACTGGTGATCTACAAAAGAATCTCTCACTTTTCTGGGGGGACAGGGATTCCAAGAAAATGCCTGTTTCTCATCTTGTAAGGGTCAGTTCCTTACAGCTAGTGGCCTCTAGGCATTCATGAACTGCAGAAGTCCAGAAAAGGCCTAAACTTTCAGCTCTGTCAAGAGGCATATTTCATTAGAGACCACAGCCCTCATGACTTAATCTCTTCCCAAATGCCCCACCTAGTGGGAATTAAGTTTCAAACTCCTGATTTTTGAAGCAGCATATTTGTACTATAATCATGCATTTTATAACTAAATATGGTTAACACATTTTAAAGTAGATTCCCAAAACCAAGATGAAAAGATTAGGTAAATTCAGAACACTACTTTGGCTAATCTTTAATACAAGAAAGTCTAAGGCAAAAGAATGGGTCACAAAGAATAAAACTGGTGTGGTGAATTCCACTTCTCTACTCATCAGCCATTAGGTATAGCTCTAATTTGATAGGAATTAGAAATAATAAAAACAATGTCTTGAGTAACTCCACCTTTAAATATATTTCATTGGGATTTACCCTTTGAAATGATAAGACTTTCCTGTTCATGTGAGAATTTGGGAAAGCATTTATTACAGGTGAAAAAAATGTGCATATTTAAGAAAAATTAAAAACCACTCTACCCAGAAAGATGTAAAAGTATACATTTTATTCATTCATTCCATCAGCTGAGACCTGCTATATTGTACAAATACATTATTGTACAAAAAAAATCACAAAATGTTACAAAATAAAAAAGTACAAACTTCATTACTCAATAAATACACTAAAGGTAGTTAAAAGTGGCAACATAGATTTTTTTTTTGATTGGAAACACTGTTTGACCCAGCAAACCATACAAGCTGTTTACATTTTTACATAATACAAGGTAAATTCCATTTTACCTTTTGGAAGAACTTTAAAATGACAGAATATTAAGACAGTCGCCTCCTGTTAAAAATACGGCCACTCTGTCAGGCCCGGCTACTCAGGCTCATTTTTAGAAATCTTAGTTGGAACCAAGAAGCTGTACAATGCAGGAGGCTGAACTTCGCACAGAATTTCATACACGTTAAATGTCTTTCCTAAGACGTTGATGAATAAAAAGAAAACAAACGAGAGCAGCAGACAACCTCCTCTAAACCCTAGAGTACAGAATTATCATTCTGCCACGGCAAACAGCAGACTTCTATTCAAGTAAGGCCTGGCACTGTCCTTTAAAGGAAAAAAAAAAAATCGTCCCAAAGCTATCCCTTCGTTAAATGTCTTCAAAGCGGAGTAGTTCTAAAAAAAATAACATTTCCCCCAAACAACAAATCCGCTTGTTTCATCAACGTGGAATGGGCCAATCATCTGGTAACACAATGTATCAAAATATCCATCTGAGATAATTAAGAATTGTGAAACAATGTAAACTAACTACTAAATCACAAACTGAGATAAACTTCATAGAAAGCACTTCTCTGGATTATGCTTAAAAGCCTTTACTCGCAATTGGAACACGTCATAGATGAAAGTACACCCATTTTTAAAAATGTGCAAAAATACATTTTTATAGAAAATAGACTACCAGGAATGAACAAATTCATACCGTGAGACATGAGCTTGCAAACTAGGTAGCGCTCACTTTATACAGCAAATTATAAATAGCGGTAGGCTCACCCAAACCTATCCGGAAACATCGTCCAGGTGCCCAGCAACCTGCGGCTCTGAGAGAACACTCAAACACTGATTAAGGCGGTACACCTACAGCCAATGTACTAGGAAGCTGAAAAGTGCCATTACCCTAATTAGAGTTCCTGAAGCTCTCCCAACAACTGACGTACGCCACTTGCCGGCTCGTCAGGTCCTCAGACTTCTCAAGAGCATGCATTTTGTTCGATATACATTTTGGACAGGGATATGGCCATGGACTTGGCAAGTTCTTCATCGCGTTTTCTCTGCATCTGGGTTTGTTTGCACCAACTGTCATACTCTGGGTTAGGATAGGAGTGATCAAAAACAGCATCATAGTGTCCATTGCTAAGCCAACTGAGCCAAATGCTAGGCCTTAGGGAATCCTCCGGGCCCAGATAGTGGATCATGGTAGACACGGTGGGGCTCTCCAGCCTCCCTCCAGTAGTTAAGTGGATATTCACATTCAGCATCTGCCCCATGGCCAGCAATTCGGGGTACCCGGCCCACGCCCCGTCTTGGGCAGCAGCGATGATAAACTCCCCCACGTCGCCCTCAATCAGGGGGCTGAAGTGGTCGAGGTGGTCGGCGATGTAATGCACAGTCTGCTCCCTCAGCTCCCGGTGCAGGCTCTGGTCCCCGTACACGGCCTTGCTGACAGCTCGGTAGAGGCAGTTGCCGTCGGGGATGATGTGGAATCGGTACTTGCTCCTCTGCCGCAGGTACTTGTCCTGCCTCTCCACCTCGGCCAGGTACAGGGCGAGCTTCTCGTCTCTCGGGTCCGCCCGGGACGCGCCGACCGCTTCGCCGGCACCGTTCTGAGCCGGCTCTCCGCTGCTCCGTGCGAGCGCGGGCACCGGGTGAGCCTCGGCCTCCGGATCGTGCCGTCGAGGAGTGTCGCTCCCGGAGGCGTCGCTGCGGCCGCTCGCCCGGTCCCAACCTCGGGGACTCCGCTCCGCCCG